CGCAACTTGGTCATATTGGTAGGAAGACTTAGAGGAACGCACCTAGTCCGGAGTCCATTGTATGAATCATTATTTCAAGGGTAGGACCGTAGACGTGGTACATTCCCATACGTTTCGCCGGCATCGTCAGTGAGTCCCGCCGTTCGTAGCACCCGACAACAACTTATCAAAGAGACTTATCTCTTGTCTTGTCCACTGTCCTACTATGAAAATAAGGATGCATACAATGGACTCCGGACTAGGTGTGTTCCTCTAAGCTTTCCTCCCAATATGACCAAGTTGCGAAAACAAGGTCGAACAACTTCTTACTAAATTATTATTCAAGAATTATCAATACCTTAAAGGCCTACTCTTACTGAATATGAGTAGTTTCGTCAATTACAATCACAAATAGGACTTTGCCTCAGCGATAATGCCACCATAAATGTGATTTAAGATTTTCCAATGCTCTCGCTTCTATTTTGATTCCAATTGAGTGTTTTGATGCGATTTAATCGAATAATTGTGATGAAAACTGAACCAATTTTTCACTTATAATTAGGTTTTCGAGATTACCTGTAGATCATATAGATAAGACATGTTCGCTCTATCTTGCTTAGGGTGGTGAAAAAATTGTAGTTGAATTTTCCTACAATCATAAAAGTAGCTTTGTTCCCATCGAATTTCGCAAAACTACGTTTTCCCATAAGTTATCCTATTGCAATGCAGACTGCTATTTCGATGTCGCCTAGATCTTCTCAATACTCCCAGCGGGATTCGAACCGTGACATTGTAGCTTATGATCTCGACACGTTAACCACTACGTACTATCGCCACGATGCCTTTGGGTCACAAAAAGATGTGAATTTCAGTAAAGACCAGGAACTTTTGCATATCACATTCTGTGACGGGACTATCGATGAATTAAAGTTCTATTTGCTATAACAATCGACAAGATTACCTTTTTTCGTTAATAAGTAGGTTTTTGAGGCTCTTAATAGATCACATAAATGCGACGTATCCATCTTATTTTGTTTTAAGGTGATAAGGGAACTGGTAGCTGAATTACCCCACCATCCCACCGCATCATATGCTATGCGGAAATACATGACCTTGCTTGAAATTCACATTTTCTCTGTGATCCAAAGCCACTAGTGGCAATGTGGCGTAGTGGTTAAAGGGTCGAGAGTATACGCTACACCATCATGGTTCGAGTCGCGCTGTCGGTGCTGATGAGACCTAGGCAAGGTCGAAACTGCAGTACGCTCTGGATGATACTAACTGTTGCGAAGCAAGTTGTGTGAAATTCAGGTCAGGTATAATTATATATTTTTGGGAAAATTCAACAACTACCAGTCCTTCATCACCTTAAATGAACGAGAATGAAAACTTCTCAAAAAACTCAAATGCCATTCCTTCGATCACCTTGAGCAATAAATGGTGGCCAATACCGCATTCATAGATTGTCGGCAGCTTCGGCATATACTCATAGGGAATATGGTTACATCATATGTTGCATGTAAATGCCATAGTCCTCTTATTCATAGCTGCTGGGCGAAGTGATGTCAAATTGACTAGTCGAATACATGTTTCGTTTGTAAGTAGGTTTTTGCTACTACCAGAGATGTCTTTTCTCTATTTCGTTGAAGGTGATAAAGGACTGGTAGCAGAATTTTCCTACTATTATATGAGTAAACCTTACGTTTCCCATGAATTTCACGTAGCCTTGCTTTACAAAAGCTAGTCTCATCCAGGGTCAACATGTCGATATCCTACACTGCGCTGTCATGGTTCGAGTCCATCCGGGGTCTGATGAGACCAGTTAAAACGAGCTCGAAATTGCAGTCCATTTCAACCTTAATGGGAATTTAATGGAAACGTTAGGTGCATTCATATGATTGTGGGAAAATTCGACATCTAACAGTCCTAAATCACGTTACATCAAATAGGATGAACGCATTTTATGTAGGCGAATATATCCTTTGAAATAAGAAGAGAATATTTTTCCACATTCGATGTTATGCCTTTTCTAGCCAAACTCTCCACCAAAATAAATGCTGTACCATGTTTCTTCTCAACTGGGTCCTGTGCACCATCCCAGCGACGAACGTGGTGAGGACATTTTGATGGTCTAGGGCCACTTTGTAGACAACCCTCAGGACCCCTTTTTACGCCCTTTCATGCATCGTGTTCCCATCCGAATCACCAGAATTGGCCAGGACTGCAGCGCATCAGATCTCAAATCCGGAGCCCCAGAAACAGAAGCTCGAGGCACTTTAGTTGGAAGTGACTGACGCTTGTGGAGATAACACGAGACGGTGTATGCACCCACACCGATAGTCGGTGGTCGTCTACCAAGTACTGCTAAAGTTACCTCCCAGTCGAAATGGAAAATCACACATCCAAACCGGTGGAGGGGAGAAGGAACAGAGTACATATCCATCTACAGAATAGAGGATAGAACTGAAGAGACAGACAGACCTTTTATCTGCCCATCCAACTGTCCTCCCATCCACTGGCTGGCCAGTTGCTTTATCTCCCATTTGCCCATCTACTCTTCCTCCGTCGCGGGGGGCGGAGTGGCTCTGAACTGAGTTACCCAACTGAAACGACAAGCTCCTCGTGCCCATTCGACTGGATGCATTTTCTTATTTTCAAAATGAGTAGACAGAATGAGTAGGCAGATTAGTCTGTCCCTCGATTTCAGAGGCCACACGTCACGAGGCGATTTGATAGGCACACACAAATTCATATTTCGTATAACCCAGTGCATCCAAATGTTCCAGTCTATGAATAACCTCATCTTTCGCCAAAATTTGTACAACCTCTTAGACACTTGTATATTCACAAAAATGCATACAATGTATACACATGCATACAAAGCGAACCTAGGCATGGACACACAATTATTGCATGTCCGCACTCACACCTACGCATATTTAAATATATTTA